GAAAGATTATGTAGCTTTCATGTCGGCTCAGGATAATCAGATATCACACACAGACACTGACACAGATATATATATATTGTATGCATGTGAAATTATGAGTATGTGCCTGGCTCCCTGTATGCCATTTGCAGAGCCCACCGGAGAATCGATGGCCTCCGTGATGGCGTATGAGGAGCCAAGCATATTCCATGTACATACATGGATACGATAATTCATATATCATCGAATTTGCATATTTAGGCACCTACATGTATATATTATTTGTTTTTCACTTGATTTTTAGAGACAATATTTTGTTGATTAATCATATAGATATATATAGGTTGTGAGTAATACTGATATATTATTGAGGTCATAAGGGTAATATACACATATAATATAGGTTAGGTCTTGTTATTTCCAACCACAAAGCAAGCACGGCATTGTCATTTTCAAAGCCACAGCGATCTGCTTCCTCACGACTGAGCAAAGGTACATGTTTATCTCTTTTTATTATTTTTTTCCTTCAGCTTCAAAAAAAAAAATTGCGTTTTTAGGGTTTTTTTATTGGGTTTAATTTGGGGAAGAGATGATGATTTTCTGCTTCTGCTGCTGCGTCTGCATAGTCAATATGTAAGTTGCAGAAGAACGTTAACTTGTGGGGAAAAGATATTATTCCCTTGTTGCTGCTATTTATTATTCCATGACTTGTATAATCATTTGGCTACTCTTGAAACGAGGAATTTCATGGGATAACCCACAAGAATTAGCTAGAAATTGTTCCCTGACAATTGTTACCATGGAAGTTATAAAAATATTATAATTAATTTCTTACTGCTCATTTCATGTTTTGATGACCAGTCCTGTCTGTCTCTTACAACTGAAATGATGAAAACTTCACTTCCTTAATTAGGGGCAACTAATTATGTTATTTTCAAAGACTAATCTTAACGATTTTTTTTCAATTCTTCGTTTAGCTGCCCTAGTGTGAATGAATGACTTGTGCACATGTAAGACTTTTCTATGGTTGTTTCTCTCTCTCGGCTACATGGCTTACACACACACACACCACACACACACACACACACAAAAGATTATGATGAGGATATAATGAAAAACTATCCTTTAAATGCCATCCTCGTGAGAATATAGTAACTATTCTATGAGGGTTAATTAGTCATCTGATCCCATCTCAGTTTTATTATTTTTTGAAACAAATCTTATTTGATTGTTTGTAATTAATCCTATCAATTATTATCATCTTTCAGAAGTCGATGGCCACTTAATCTCTGGGATTACACACACGAGATTTTAATATTATGGATTATGAAGTGTAAAGCTCGGCTGTTTAATCAGGTTGCCTTAAAAAAAATGAAGACGACATAACATGTTTGTATCATTAATCAGTCTGTGAAATTCCTTTGCAGAAATTGAATCTACCAGATATTCTTATCTGTTCCAGATTCCTTTGTAGAACCTCACATTCCCTCGCCAATTAAGCCTAGCTGAATAGTGCCCAAATGGGTGTTTGTATTATATATATATATATATATATATATTGCCGAAACATGTTTTCTGGGTGTGTATGTATCTAAATCCTTCATGTATTAATAATGTGATAATTAAGCGAACCTAGAAATTAGTGAGACACAAACCGTTAAGCATCGATCAATATGCGTAAGTTCTTGTGAGCAAGCGAACTCACTCACTTTATACACAGCCAGCAATCTCTTTCGTTACACTTGAATATAGAAATCCGTCCATGAAATAATGAAAACTATATGAATTAAAAGTGTACTTAGTCATATACATCCATGTGGTGGCTCTTATAAAGGAAATGATTCATAGCATAGACACTAAAAATCAAACCCAGATGAAGGACATGAACATGAGAAGAGAAGAAACATGATGATAAGTAGAGAAAGTACTAGAAAAGAAAAGAAATCACAAGATAGATGAATATCTGTTTCTGCTTCCCAGATTGGCACATTGTAATGATATATGTTGCCATAACTGGTATGAAAATAAACCAGCTTCCCCTAAGGCACGACCAGACCCAGAGAGAGAGAGAGAGAGAGAGAGAGAGAGAGAGAGAGAGGGGCCACAAGAAGCTAGCTTAGGCTTACCTGGGAAGTATAGTGTAGGGCATGGTCCTATAAGCACGTTTTGTACGTAGCAGAGCTAGATAGCTCCATGCTACACAACACACAGGATCCCCACCTCTCCTTCCGTCTTCTTCTTCCCCATCACACACACATTATTATCGCATAAGTTCCTTTATATATTACTATCAACAAGTTATTTAAAGTTCAAACTTGAAAGTTGAAACAGATCAAGCAAATCTATATTTAATTATTTATATGTAGAGAGAGAGATTGAAGAAACTGCTTTTAAGAGATGGAGGAGTCTGAAAAAGGAGAGATGTCAGGAACAGGAATACTACTGAATAGTTTGAGAGAGAGAGAGAGAGAGAGAGAGAGAGAAGAAAGGTACAGAGACGCACGTCTGGGCAGGGAGCGTTGTGAAAAGTGAAGAAGGATTATGTGTTTGTGTGTGTGTGTGATTATGGGAAAAGAAAAAGGGCATAATTGTAGCAGTGAAGGAGAAGGGAAAGAAGAGTTCGGAGGATTCATCATTATAGCTACTGGGGAATCTCACACGCACACACAACACAGGCAAAGGGAAGAGAGAGAGATGGCGGACCACTCTATGAGTTTGTCTCTATAGAGAGCTAGCTAGCTTTCATTGGGGTTGCAGGGAATATGGTATACGGTCAAAGCAGGTCAAAAGAATACAAAAGGACATTATTAGTCAGGTCACCAAAGGGACCACTTCCTATAAGATTAAAATCTTTCTCCCAAAAAAAAAAAATCAGCTTATATTAATATTATCGTCTCTCTTCTTTTTTTTTTTTTTTGGGGTTCCTTCACGACTCTTTCTCTCTGGTTATCATTCTTCTTCTGAAACACAGCACACTTTGTATACGAGTTTTTCGAGTTATATATATATAATACTATAAAGTTATGGCCTGATGAGGCTGATAACTACGATGGCTTTTTGTTTTTGTTTCTTTCCCTCTGTAAGTGAGTTGGTGGAATGCTGGTTTAGCCAATCAACTTAGTGATTCATGCTCGATTAATGAACAAAGATTTGGGACTCTTTTTTGGGTTTGCCATTAATTAACTTAATTAACATTATTTGTTAAGAGTCAATATGATTTGGGATGAGATAAGAAATGCGTTGTGCTACACAAGAATATTAAGGACTTTGATAGATTTATGGCCAATTTTTTAGAGTGAAAAAAAATGAAATCACAGTTCAATTCCATGTATATATTGGAGGAAGTTATTTGTATTTTGGCCAGAGGTTTATGTTGCTAGTTTTTTTTTTTTAATTTTTGGTAAAATGTGCTCATTACTTGTTATTTTTGGTTGAAAAATCCGATAAGAATATAATTTTAAACAAATATTATGAAAGGCTTGTGCAACATATTATTTCTTTAAAACAATTATGTGCTTTATAATATAGAAGCGTTCATTATGAACATTTGTATTAATTACAACACATAAATGAATTTTTTTGAAATACATTCGTACCACATTGTTATTTCAAAGAAAGGTTAAGTACAATAAGACTAATGAATTTTTTTGAAATATATTCGTACCACATTGTTATTTCAAAGAAAGGTTAAGTACAATCAGACTTATGGTGCGTGATGGTCCCGAATTGAAATAGAATGTTCGTATTTTTATGTCTTTTCGTTAAAAAAGAAATACTGTTCGTCAGATTGTCGAAGTGTTTCGAGATCTAGATATTCTTTTTGGCCTTCATTTCGGGATCTAGATTTCCAGTCTTTTGAAACAATTAATGAAATGAAGTAATGAAAGAGTAAGGTTTGAAGGGTTTGAGGCGCGTCAGACTAATATTGCAAATTGGCTTGTAAATTTTAACACGTCACTTGTAAATTGTGTGAAGATCTATAGATAACAAAGTTATTTAATTTATTAAATATTAAAGTATTAATACTTTAATAAGATATTATTAAAATAAATATGATACTTCTTTTTAATTTAACTACTTACCAGTGTTGTTTCTGGCAATGGTTATGCAATAAATCACTCAATAGATAAATAGTCGAAGAGTCGATATTAGTCTCTTGACATTTGATTATAATTTTGAGAATTTAATTGATATTAATTTTCTCGTAGAGTATTTATTCATATTTTTTGAGGCCTTTCTGCGGTTTTCTTGGTCAATTAATAGTCAAAGTAACGGATGTTTAACTAAAGTTACACCACTCCATTTTTAGATCATCCTTAACTTTTAGATAATTCAATATGTGTGTGTGGGGGGGGGGGGAGTTCACGAGAAAAAATTGGACATTATTAATAAGCCTATGTTTAATAATATTGGGAGTGTCGGAATACACACACACACACACATATATATAGTATGTAATGATATGATGGTAAAATAGATGGGGAGGGTAGAAGCAGCTTTTGACAGAGGGGTTGGGAAATGAAGTGAGGAAGAAACAATCATTCTGATTTGTGAGGGGAAGAAGAAGAAGCTGATGATGATGGCAACAAGTTATAAAGGGAAAGCAGTAAATAGTAATCATATGATGCAAGTGCCCTCAGAACCTGCTTGGCCCAGCTCACTCGTACTCTCTCTTCAATCTCCTCTCTGGGGAAAAAAAAAAAAGTAGATTCCTATATCTGTTCCTCTCTCTCTCTCATCTCTCATATAAATATATATATATATATATATATATATCTGTGAGTGTGTGTGTGTGTAGTGTATGCTAGCTCCTTCTCTTAAATTGATGCCTAATTCTCAAATCCTCTTTTCAATGTTTCTAGTTGAATTTCCCTTGTTTCCATTATGGTGAAAAACCCTTGAATATATGTGAGAATAAGTGATCATCACAACACATTCTTTAGTATGTATGTAATATATGTTTTGTGTCTCATGTTCAGGTCACCCAAAATTGTCCAACTCACTTTTCAGATTCACTCTGCACCACTCCTCAATTTAAACTTTGCGGTTCTCTTCTCTTGTCTTGTATAGTATGTGTGCGTATATAGGATTTGTTTTATTTGTTTTTTTCTATATATCCACCTTAGTATAAGATTATCTTCAGTTCTTAATATAAAAGCTAGTTGGTGATTAAATTTGATCTTAAACGTAAAACATCAATTCACTTGTCTCTTAAATCTATATTGTTTCATCTCAAATATCTCTATTGAATGTGAGGAGTTTCCATTAAGAAATAATTCTAATGTACATGATTAAAAAAGATAGTTTAAGAAAGTCAATACACATTTGTTACAATTAACTAACTTAACTAATTTTTTTAATTTTTTTAAATTAGTTATCTAACTCTTATATTAACTATGAAGGACTAAAGGCAGTATTACTATTATGCTATATTGCATTCCTATTACCAGATATCCCTGATCATCCCATCAAAATGAAAGAGATGCTGATTGAGTCATTAACTCTGCCTGAACATGGAATAAATTTCTGATTTTACTCATGTTTAAATAAAAAATTTTCATATTTGTATTACAATCTTCATCATGGCCAACGACTTCAAATAAAGATGAAATTAAAAAACTTAATCAATCTTTTATCAAATGACTTATAATAAGCAACATCAATTTCTCTTATAAAGTATATATGCCTTATAACAAAAAGACCAAAAGGAGTTTATACCAATTTTAGTACTTGCAATGCATGACTTAAATTTATAATTCAAGCTTAGTGCATCGTAATTAACAAAATAATTAGTTCAGTAAAATGTAATTAATACCCAATTTTCGTGACGTAAATAATCATTATTCTTAAAAAGTACCTTATAATAGTGAACGAAGTGGCATATGGTCTCCGGTTCACTCTAAACATTCTGGCCAGAAAATTAATCCCATATTAATTAATGATCTTTCTCGATACAAGTTTTCTACCGGAAAAATTAGCAAAATCGAGTAACTTAGAAGTATAAAAAAGTCTAAAAAGGATAATGTACATATGTTTGGTTCTTTTTTATTGAAATATACAGCATGAAATTTTTATTATGATTTTGTGAGCTGATGATCGAAGAGACATTATTATTGCTCATATGCGAATTGATGTACTCCAAGTGACAAAAAGGGAGGAAATAGGTGGAAGTGGGACATTACTATACAATGAATATTGCAATGCAATGATGGATAAGTTATGTTGATGGTTTAATATATTGTATTAATATTTAATAATTTAATATTGTTAGATTTGAAAATTGATAAGATTAAGGCACTTTAATTTGGAAGTCATATTTCGGTGCCATAAAGTTTGCTTTTTTGCTTTTTTTTGCAGACGACCTCACAAAAGCACTAAAAGGTGATATTCCAATTCAAACCTAATCGATTTGATAATGAGAGGTGAAAAGACCCGTTTTTACTGCTCATAAATCAACCTCTTTTTAGACTTAACGTTCTAATTATCCAATCAATAAAGTTCAGTTAATGTGATCACTGCATACAAATGCATATTA